ATCTTATGTTCAATTTTGTGTCTTAATGACATTCAAGTGAATCGACTCTTTTGTGTCGCACGCTACCGCATTATCGATGTCGTTTTGTTCTAAATGCATATTCACGTCACCATTTAAGTATCAAGTACTTTCACTCTCTAATATCTTTTCGTACTCTGAGATCGAGATTTTGAATGAGGAATAAATACTACGCGAATATTAGTAAAAAATCTTATTGTAAATCTAGTTTATATATCTATATCTGTTAATCTACTCAAATGTTGGCCTAATTAATCATCGGCCGCATTATAGAATGCAATTAATTCAAACAATTTTACTTTGACCGCACTCGATTGCATAAAAACGCTACTTTTAATGTAAGCTTCTGTTTCGCTTTCTGTAATTATAGGCGACTAATTAAAAACCACGCAAGTGTTAAATTAAAGTTTCATTCGGTAATGATTATAGTTAATTTTTATACTAATAATTTTTGACAATTTTTTGTCTAAAACAAATCATGCTTTTAAATAAACATAAATATTAAGAAAATTATAATAGCAATATTTATTGTAAATCACTGATGTTATTTCGTTATTGGTAGTACGCTTTGATGTTGATTCATCTCATGTCTAAAATATTACTTAATATATAAAAAAATATATATATATATATATATATTTATTAAGTAATAATAAGTTTGTTAAGAAAATTTGCTTACTTATATATTTTATAAAATGATCAAAAATTACAGGAAGTACACGTAATTAATATTTTAAAAAATTTGAAATATCAATGATTTTTCATATTTCTGCCAATATAATTTTCATCGAAACAAATATTTTACACATAATAATATTAAAATATTTTAAATAAAATAATGTGCAATTTATTCAAATACTACATGGCTATTTAAAATTTGTCAGATCTAAATATTTTCTGAAGTAGTAGATGTTAAAATTCAAACTAATTAAATTCATATTTTCATATTTGATATAAAATATATAGGACTATTAAAGGCATAAATTTTTATATAAAGTTACAAAATTATCCTTCTTTTTTTTTAGCAAATGATAGGAATTACTATCATTGTTACTATTATACTATTATTTAAGTCTATGCTCAACTGTATTACCGACATAAAGATAAATATAAACCATTAGTAAAATGATTTTTAACACTTTCAGTTTATTGTTTTTTTAATTTTACAACCATCGCAAATAAAAGAAACAGTGTATTATAGGATAATTAAATATAATCTTTTCTAATAATACAAATGTAATAATAAATAACATCCATATTGTTGCAAATAAAAATCAAGCATTTGTCCGTATATACATGTAAGATTCTTCGAAAAATAGCCGATGCTTATTTTTCATTAGAAATAAGTATATTAAAAAACAAGCTACGATATAATTTATGAAGTACATAATTATATGTTAGGTAAAGGATAATGAACCAATCCAAACCTATCCAGAAATTCAAGCTTTTAAGGACGTTTAAATATCTTAATATAACTACCTTCATATCAAGTTATTTCCAAGTCAATGATATTATTTAAGATGGTGTAAAAATATTAATGAAATTAATAGAGCTATTTTATTACTTATCATAATGTGCCTTTAATTAAATTCTTAAAAATAAAACTCGATTTTGTTATTGATTAACTTTTTTTCGTATTATAACAATTAAACTGTAAAATATATTTTTAGATAATTTAATTTAATTTGGAGAATAATTAATTATTAATTCAATAATTATTTTAAATTATTATTATTATTTATTCCAAATATAATCGATTGTATATATTAACAGAAAGTATAACGTGAAATTTTTTTTAATAAATTTGGATGATATGAATTTTTAGAACATAAATAATGTACAGTAATTCTGGAAGTAACACTAATAGAATAAACATTTTGTTCATATTATTTAAAAACTCGTTGTAGTATCGTGATGTTTTAAGTTAGAATAATAATTTATGTGAAATCTAAACTCTTAAAAATAATTTCTTTTTAGGCAGTATTGCAAATATATGTATGAACGTATATGTATGATGTACAATATTAAGTTAATATTGCAATTAACATAATTCCCAATGTCACTCGTAGTTTTCTCTCACTAAGATAATTTAGAATTAGAAAGTTTTTAATATTATAGATATCTGGATATAATTATAATCGAGTGAATTTGTATCAGAATTCATAAATTATAATTTATGTTTTGATACCCGTATGTGAAATTATTTTGTATAAATACTATTAATTATAATACTTCACACGTTTTTTTTATCTATTACGAGATTATAATTTTCGAACATAATTTATAATGGATATACCGAATTTCTTATGAATGCTTAAACAAAATAATGAAATTAGTTTTATATCTAAATTATTTGTTTTGAATATAAAATATACTATTATTATTATATGATAATTAGTTTAATTAGCATAATATGATTCATTGTATGGTCGTTGAGTTAATATATTCGCACAATTCATTCTGCGATTTCGATTATTTAAAAAAAGCGCGAACCTATCAAATGGTGCATGGTATTGAATATTCAATTATTTTAAAAATTTTTAAATGCATTAATTTACAAAAATTAGAACTCATCTTTATAGTTTTTTTACACACAATCTTTATTAAATGAAAGATTTTCTTTCGCCTCATCACATAGCTAATTTCCATATAATTTATGCAAACGAATACTACATATTGTATTTATTTAATTATATTATTTTACATTTGTTATATTAATTTGATCACAAAAACACATTCATGCATAAAATATCTGTTAAATCATTATTATCATATAATACTTTCATTAATTAAATAATTATATAAACTTTATGTGATGTTTTGTAAATAAATGAAAACATATTTTTTATTTACTAGATTATTTCTATTTTATTATACATGAGATTTCTGATAAAGATACGTTATTATTAATGGTGTAATTATCAATTATGGAGTAATTATCAATGGTGAATTATCAAGACGTATTAAAAATCTTATATAAAATTAATTTAATTTAAAACTTTACAAGATACTTTATTATAATAAGTTTTATTTATTTCAGCTCAGGTCTGCAACAGACCTCCTACTTCTTGTACATAGAATAGCAAGGAAAATCAAAGGTGTATTCTCTTCCTTTATATTCACCATATATGTCATCATTCTTTGGAATTTGCTATCGTAGTGTTGTTTACCACTGGGCAACACGACCATTACTAAAGTTGATAAAATCATGATGACGACGTAGATTTCTCGGACATCAGTCCATTTTTATTTTCCGAGTGGACGCATGCGTTGCATTTCCGATCGACGGAAAATAAGCGCTGTTGTTTAACAGTAATAACAGCGACAGATACGTAGGATATTGGAATTGGAAACGGTAGAAGACGAGATATCGT